GGTGCCAAAAGGTGGAAAAGTCTCTTGAAAGGTCGCACCGGAGCCCGCTTCTCTCCTTGGCCCGAGAAGTTGGAGCTTTGGACATGCTCGAGGGGGGCCTCAGGTGACCCGAGATCTGCCGATGCTCCGGTCGTGGCTCCGGATTTGAGTGAAACCCATCAAATGTTGTTTAAAACAACTGGAGACTCCAGAACTTAACATGACTTGCACTCCCCACATCCATATATCCTGACAACTGCTGAACTGACTCCATTTCGAACCCGTCCACTGCAGGCGCCCGGCAGTGGACCCGTCCACTGCTGAGTCTGGAGACCTGCGATGCCACGGACGGGGGCCACCGACCCTACTCTAGGACTCTGGACCCTCTCCAGGACTCCCTCCCGGAAGAAAGGCTCAACGATATGAGATCATCTGGCTGGTTTCGTCATGGTTTGCTGCTCCCCCCGAGGCCCCATGGGAGCTCGGTGGACCAAATCCGAACAGACGAGGAATCTGTGACAGAACTGATCTGGGGTTGTGCCCAGGGTGCCCCGGTCTTGACCCAACGGATGGATAGGATAGGCCAGAAAAGGTCAGAACATGTTCGCCCCTATAGTCATTGTGGCCACGAATTCTCTCGTCTCGTGTCTCGTTTTTTTGGCCAAGAGAGAAAAGATATGAAACAACGGGTCAACCACTGGGTGATTGAGTACACGCACCACGGGATGTTGTCACGGGATGGGATGGGACTAGCTGGGCCTGGGATGCACCTGCGCCGCGCCCTTTGAAGAGCAAGGCTAAAGGCTTTCATTGGGTTGGTTTAAGAATGTTTAAGGGAACATCTGCAGGAAACAAAAAAAAGGAAACCATGGCTTTCATGCCCAAAACCATGCTTCCTCAAAAATGTTCGCCTTAAACATCATCCTTAAGCCAATGCGGGCAAACAGTTGTTGAACTTGTGGGATCTTCTATGAGTCTATGATCTTATTTTGACATTCCCTTGTGGAATACCGAGAACTAGTAGAATTCATCTACATGGTCCTCTGTCCAAGATCCCGTTGAGAACCAACTAACTAACATGAGATGCGTTGAGCCATCGCGATAGCCCCCCTGACTCGGCCCCTGTCACAAGTGAGAGACCAGGTCTACCTCGCTTGTAGGCTATGACCTGTGCATGGCATCTCCTTGCCTCTCCACTGTCCATGGCATCCATGACCTGAGAACGTGCTTTTCGGCTGCGAGGATGGTCCACTGGACTCGGAGACGTGCAGGTCAGCAGGTCACCGGTTGTTCCGAGCAAACGACGTGACTCGTGCCGACGGGTCCTGGTCCCAGGGTCCTTTCTTCACCGAGGGTCGGGACACCGACGTCGTGACAGGTCCTTTCACTTCGAGGACGTCTCTGGAGAGTTTCCAAAGCTGAAAGCCCTTTCTCAATGCACACCCACAAGAAGCAAATTGGAACATCTAAAGCTCCCAATCTCCCAACCTCCTGCAACTTCCAAAGCTCAGCGACCTGTTTAAAAAACCTGTCCCGGAAAATAAACTAACAACGATGAGGACGACGACCTTCTGGAGTGTTCCATGTCGCCGGCGAGGAGCCCAAACGAGACTGACACTCCACTCACCTTTCCAGTGGGGCCCGACTTCATTGAAGACATGGGACTGACCATCAGACTGACCTATTGACATGGGGATGGTTTCCAGGGAACTCTTCCATACCAGGACCCCCAATCGGGGTGGTGAATGGACACCCCGGAATCACAGCTACTTGTAGTTGGGGCTATAAATAGACACCCCTACTTGGAGGGTCCTGACCACATGGATGCTCTACATGGAACTCTTGAGCCCCCCCACGACCCGACCCGCCGTTCTCCGAGGCGCGGCTCTGGAGGGAGGGCGCCTGAGGGAGGGGTCTTCTTGCGTTTCATCGTTGGATCTCGGGGTGCCGAACGAACGGAGGAAGGAGGTGCCCGGTGCCCCGTCGTCACATCCACTTTCGCCCTGGATGCGACTCAAAACCACCCCGAGCTCTGTGACTCCTGGTAGACAGCAAGATCCATCTTTTCAAGGGCCTTCGATCGGAAAGAACAAGGAAGAACCAAAGAAAGCATTCTACGTTGGATGTGTGGTGGGATGCTTCGAACCAGTATGAACCATGGTCAATGTCGCGATGGCACGGCTGGCATGGAATTGGATTCCAGGAGAAAACAACTAAGTAACAACAAACAACAGTATCCAACAATACCTTTAGTCTGGTGGACCCTCCCTCAGACTCAACCAAGCTGCATTTATGCAACGCAAACACCTGAACCCAAGGCGTACAACTCTGTCTCTTCTCCAGTCCGAGCGCTTGCGGCTTTAACTCCGTGGACCCCGGCCATCCACGTTCAACGAGCGCACGGCAGAGGAGATGGGCCCCACGTCATCCTCCGAGTCGTGGCCGATGTCATACACCTCCGGCGCGGGGTTCGCGCGGGCTAGATTGGAGGCGGGAGGGGTGAGTTGATGCGGAGTCCATGTTGCCTGAAGAGGGTGCGTCGGATGGAGGGAGGGGGTTTCAACACACCAGTGTTCAATAAGGTGCCGGCAGTTCAGTCACAGTGCCATTACTGTCCTTATGGCTGGCTCCTCATCAGTCCACAAAAGAAGAAACACCGACCACGAGTACCACTATCCACTATCCCCAAATTCGCCATGTAGCATGTGCTCAAGGATTCAAGGATTCCAAGGTGGGTACCACCACGACACTTTCAAGAAGTGATGAATTTGATGAGTCAGCCCTGCCAGTGCCACCGCGCGGACTCGAAGCTCGGCACCCATCCCAGGCCGTCCCAGCCACCAAAGGTTCGATGTGGAGAGGTCGTTGAGTTGACTGACGGCAAGTAGACGAGATCTTCCCTATCATGGAGAATTTGGGGAATATGATGTCATGATGTGGACTGTGAAGATCTTCTGGTTCAGCCATGTTCAGCCTATAGTAGACCCAAAGCCCTTCAAGCTATATGTGGAATATGTTGTGGAATAATATGGCTTATAGGCTGTATCTTTAGATATCTTGAGGCATCCATGAGATAGATAGCGTGCTATGCCGTCTATCGCCAAAACACTTCAGTCATGATAGGTCCATCGGCATGCATAGCCATAGAATGAAGAGCCTGTGTTTCGCCAATGGCGTGTCCAAGCTGTTGCTTCGCCAGGGGCTCTGGCTGTTGGTGCCTATTTCAATCCCATGAAGCCTGCCATGTCGCGCCCACCTCGGTGGGCGTGTCGGAAGACTGCGTCCACTGGGCCGAGCCTGGCGAAGAGACGAGTCGTGAGGTGAGTTGTTCTGTTCAAGTGAAGAAGACATAAGAGGACCAGAATGGCTTGCAACGACTCGACCCCATGTTTTTATGTCTTTTGAAGATGAGAGGTGGGGGGGTGCCCCGGAATGGAGGAGAGGTCAGTCAACCCCCCTTGCAAAGTAATCGGAGCCGGCTGCGAGGGACAGGGTAAACTCCTGATGGGAAGCCCAAGTTCCTACAGGCCACCGATGAATAGCAAAAGTTTGCTTGGACCAAAGGGTGTAGGAATCATAAACATCATAAACTCTTAGTGGACAACGAGAAGATGTGGACAGGAAAATTACGAATGGGATGGCTAGGACACTTCTGAGAGCCAGGGATTCCTTCATGGCTGTATGTCTATTATGGCCGTGTATGCTATTCAGAAACGTTACCATCCTTGCCACACTTCGCTCGTCCAGCCTCAGCATCGGGCGTGAATTTTCGACACCAAGAGGCCGCTGGCCCCACTACACGGTGGCCCCTCATCCACCCACGACCCCTCCAAAAAAATATCCGACCTCCAGAGTACAAGTGTCCCAAGTGCATCTCAGTCAGTCCAGGACTCTCTCCAGTCATGTCAGCAATAAGAATTCAAGGCACTGACCTGTAACCTGCTTGGTTCGGTCACTTAAGCCTCCTAAAGGTCACTTAGGAACCTTCAAAAGGTCAAATTGAAGAAGCTGGGAGATGCACTGAATGTATCATCCACATCCTCTCCTTGCGGGCTTGTCGATGCGCCCAGGCCCTTGCGCGCCGGTGTCACCTTAGTGCCGCGTGTCGGTGTAGTACCGTTGGTATACGGGACGAACGTGTCACCAAGCTAATTAGACCATGCACCCAGCATTTGTCAAGTACTTTGTCTAGTGGGAAGCATCTGGAGCCTGCGGAGCCCGAGGTGAGAAGCCCCTGAGGTGAGAATCCAGAATTCATCGGTGGCCCATGTTGCCTCACCGGGCGCTACTGAACGCCTTCCTGCTGAGTGCTGCCTCGGCGCGGTCTCCATGGGGAACATGAACTCGGCGCGGGGGAAAGCTAGAGCCAAATGGTCGCGAACGCCGCGCGGACGGATCTCGAGGACGGATCGGTCACATCCAAAAGACTGTCCCAAGAGGCGTCTGACTGCGGCACAGGGGTGCCATAACTGCTCAGAAACCGGTGAACCTCTTTGCTCTATGCCAATCTCATAGTCTTAGGCCAGCTTTGGATCATGATCGGGACGCCTCGATGAACACAGGCCGTGTGCAGTGACCGATCAAATGGGTGGCCAATTATATAACAATTGTTGGAGCCCCCCAGGCCAGGCATCTTCTTACGTCATCTTGTTTCAGCGCAGACCTCCCCGGCGGAGAAACCTCCTCCGCGAACCCCGCACCGACACTCCGCTCAACTCCCGCCGGTGGTTCTCTTTTTCTGGTCGCGGGCAGCCGTCACCCACCGGGCGCGATGGTCATCCTGGAGGGAGGCTCACCTCAGGGGTGCGCGCTCGCTCCCCCCCCAGCGAAGTCTGGTGGGCCCTGAGCTGGAAAAGAAAGGTTCGCCTCGACGGTCGACCTGTTGGACCTGATTGGGGAAACCCACTCGCTCCCCAACAAGTACAGGTTAGGTTGTCCACTGGCTATGAGGCCATGAGGCTGGTATGCTGGCTGTAGGGCGGTGTCCCCAGGTTGTAGTTTCGGAAACGCTCGAAGCACATCTATTCTGATCTGAAAATCCTGGAAAATGAGGATGATCCCGCCCCCCTATCACTCATACACTGGGTGGGGTGGATCCACCACTGTATGGCCATTGAGCATGTTGCCTTGAATTGATGTTTCCAGCTTCCTGTACCAAATGTCTGATCAACAACTGTGGCGCCAAGGAACGCATGTAGCCTCCGCCTGGTGCAAGTGCTTCGCCAGCAAACTGCACCCCTCCCACCACACCACGCCATTGTCCACCCTGAATCTCGTCCCGTGGGTCCTGTAGGGTGGCAGGTGGCTCGACTAGCAAGTGATTAGAGAACTCCCTGCAGTTTCCTTGGCTATCCTTGGTTCCCTTCGGGAAAATTTTGGCACCCCGATCGCACCCGATCGTTCCCCCCTTAAGCACCGGAAAACACTCAGTGTGGTTCCAACTGCAGGTTCACAACAATTGGAACGGACGGTGAAACTATGAAACAATTGGGGGGGCAGGTTGATACCATTTCGTTGGCCATACTGCCATACTGTCCTAGCCACGATTAATTATCCTAGGTCCTAGGTCCTAGTGCAGTCAGTTCGACAGGACGAAATGCAATTCACACTGCAAAAAGGAGTGCGTTCCACCATGGCAAATTCCGATGAAGTAAGTACAAGACCCCACAAGACTTGCAAGAGTAAGTAGTATATAATTCAATCGAATCAAGACCCCGACGCGCACAGTTTGTTATGTGATGTGCTGGGTCCATCATGCGGTTCAACCATGTTCACTGCCATTTCAAGAAATAGCTGGAACGAAGACAAATCAAAACCAAACCATTATATAGGTGCGCAGCAACTGAACTGACGAAGCATAGCGACCGGACACTGCTCTCTAGGGTCCGCAGGTCCATGCATGCCCAGACTGAGCTCGCACTCGCTGTGACATGAGGATAGCGTGGAGGAAGGAGGAGAAGGAAAACAACCATACACACCGGTCCACCGCACCGGTCCAGCAACACCTCAGCAATAACTGTTAAAAACATATCGCCACATGCAAGAATCGAGCCGAAACACTTAAGTTCACCGTTGGTGCTGGACTTGGCCGAATGAGCAATAGACACTCTCAAGCACATCAGGTGCACCGTCAGTCCTCTCCGGCCCAGACGGGGGGGGCTTTCTCCGGCACCCAGGCGCACCAACCGGGACACGGCGCAGCCGTCGATGATGTCTGTGCGGACATACATGGAGGTCCTGCATGATTCTGGTGCCCCTGGTGATTCGGGTGATCACACGAAATAGTTTATTGTAAATGGATAGCCCACAACCTCAGCTTCAAAAAAAAGCCATCAGCCCAATGTTCTGGGATTGGCTTGGAAGTTGTGAAAACGTGGCCGTTGGATCCTGAAAGACATCCACTGCCAAACTAGGAATCAGCGTGGCCAGCCAGTTCATGTCCATGCGGCCCTTCAGTCTAAGGTACCACTAAAGCAACTACAGTATTTATTGTTCATCTGGCCAAGCCCTCCTTTTGGTTCAAAGCCTTCCTTTACTGGCACCATATATGCTCCCGTTGTTTCCATGTTTGGGTCGGGTCTTCAGGAATGAATTCAATGGTCCCAATCGGTACATCCAGCCTAAACATCGATAAACGTGCCTTTGATGGTGCCCAACGGCAAATCATGGCAGAACAAACAAACACACAAACGCATGAGTTTAGTGTCACCGTATGCTGACGTAAGTGGACTTCATCATAATACTGCCGAGAGAAAACACCCGAAGAACCAAAGGTACCATTACGTAGAAGGTTATAGCATTATAGTTAACAGCCATACATGTGAATTGACGGTCTTTGACGATGAAGCTGGCCTCTGAACTGATTCGACACCGCAATTCATGCCGACTTCAGATATCCAATAGAACACCACACATCGATCCATGCACCACCTCCACGCACCGGCGACGAACGGTACCGGTTGTCCGTCCGGATGCCCAGCTGGATGAACTCATCCGTGAACTTCTTGGCGAAGTCATCCAATGGATCCCCCACCAAGTCCTTCATGGAGGTCGCCATGGCCTTGAGCCTCGCAACAGGCACAAAGATCTCCAAATAACGAAGTGAAACATCATTTTGCTAAAGATGCTAAAGGAACTGAGGAACATCCAGAAAACCATCAAATATACTGTAATATACTGCTATCATCCACTTCTTTCATCTCTCTTCCTGGAAAGGGCCGGAGGGGGTGGTCATTTCGCACCACCCATCAGTTGAAGCCCCAAACGACGCGTCCGATCCTCGCGGACGCGCCTGAAGCGGTCCGACTCCCTGGCCAGCTCATTGAGCTGTCGCACCTCCTGGGGCAGTTGACCATAGCTGGGCCCAAAGCGGACCCAGCTCACCGTCATCCAGTCCTGCGCTGGCTGCCCGAGCCTACTCCCTCAGCAAGGTGGAATTCATGGTGGAAGTCGTGCGTGCTCTTTCGCAAGGCTTCGGTGCTCTTGGGCAATGCTTGGGTCGTTTGCATGGACATCGCCCTTTTTTTCGATGGTTGTTGTTGCTGCTCGTTGGCACCTACTCGTTTGCCTTAAGGGACAAGCTCTACCAAGTTGGCCGTTTGGCGCATCTCGGTCGTATTCCACCTCCACAGGGGCGGATCCAAACTCCCTCAAATCAATGATGTCCTGAGAGCGAGCACGGGAAAAGCATGGAGAAGCCAGTATATCACCAAAAAAAGTAATCACATTAACTTATATATATCTTGCTAATATAATATATATATATAACTTTCGTTATGATCTCCAAGCAAAAGGCCGCTGAAAACTGGTGATCTACCAGTTGAACCCCCCCCAACTGGAAGAAGAGAGAGAAAACACTTTGAGGGCTGGCATTCATTCATCCAACGCAACTATGACAAATGCATGGTGGTCCACGACAGGCACTGGGAGGCACGAACCACTTCATGGCCGCACTCTGACTCAGTGGAAAATGGTCCCTTGGAAGACGCTCATGGAGTCTTATATGGAGGGGTCGGGGGTCGAACCAATACGGTTTTGAGGGACCGGGGCTGTGGGTTGGAAGACTACACTTTCCTTTACACAGAGGGGGATCATCCCACTTAGTGAGTCGGAGTGTACAGTGCACTTTCTATTTTTTCTCGGGGGGGTGAAGTATATTACAGTAGTTGTTTTGCCCTGTGGGCCGGCATCTTGGCCTAATTATATACCAAGTCTTTGATGCGCATCCAGCGAACCACCCAGCAGCAGCTGACATTCTGTGAACATCCCTGTCAAACGGAAGCCTTTTTTTAGGCCAAGCATCGGTGGCGTAGTGCGGCAAAGTGGATATCCGCCAAACCTTGCACAAACGAACGACTCACTAAAAGGCATTTCTGTCCTTCATTGTTGGGCAGCCTGGAAAATGCCATCACTTTCAAGCGCTGCTGCTTTATGTGTTGTACTTCTTAAAATCTTTATATATATATAACTTACCGCGCTCAAATCTGTGCTGAAGTTCGGCAACACTGGGCATTCACAACTTGAAGCACACGCACACCAGAACAAACAACTTCTGCCGAAAGGCGTGGTAAGGGGCGCCGGGCTTCAAGACGTTGTCCTTAGGTGGCTCGTCTGACATTGTCTGACACTTGCGTTTCCCGCGAAAACCAACGCTTTGGCTCCTTCCTGGCTGATTTCAGATGCCCAAGGAAAGTTGAAGGTTGAGGTGGGGTCCGCCTCCTTTTTCCACAAAATGCCTTCTACCTGGGCCACGCTGTTTACACCGTTTGCTGATATACTTGTTTGATCTTCTTTGAATCCCCGCAGGTGAAACAAGCTCTGACAAACCCTGAAAAGAAGGGTCTCCAACAGTTCTTTGAGCGCTTTCTGACGAGCGCTGTGGGCGAACCGTGCAGACGACCCAAGCAGGGCACCGCGATGACCACGGCATTCTCGGCCATCAAATTTAAGCGTTCCTGGGAAATGGTCAGGGCTTGAGAAACATGTTGACACGGAATGAGACCCCAGACATTGACTCCAATGTAGGCATATATTATATATATATGCGCTATGGCATATACATGAAGTGTCTGGGGTCTAGTCTTATTTCTAAAATAGTTGGAGAATGTTGGAGATTTATAGCTGTGCACCGATCCTGAGGGTCCAAAGGGCGCGCTGTTCAATGGATATTTGCTCGCCCACCCACCAAGTGGGATCTGCCATGACTTTGGCTCAGCATGCCGTTTAAGCATTCTTGGTGTCCATATTTGTTAGTACTACACCACAGACTGCTAAAGCGTAGCCAGAAGCAGTTTTCCTGGACCCTTTGAGTTGCTCAAACAACACGCTGATATCATTGGCGGGTGCGGAACAACACACTTGAGTGTGCTCAAACAACACACCGTCTTGGACATCCGTTTGGTGATCTCCAGGTCTCAATATGTGTCATTTCCCTGATGCCCTACCTGTCAGTCGTAGTCAGTCGTAGTCAAATCTTCTGGAATATCAAAGGTTGTAGTCAATCGTGTGCCCTAATCGATGGATTTTTTTTGAGTCTGCCTTTGCTCCTCCCTGGGGTCTGCCTTTGAATCTTTCCTCTCGAATGCACGTCCACATGGAACGTCAAGTCTCCAAAGTCTTGAGATCGTCATGAAAGGCCTCAGCTGCGGCGGGATCGTTAGGGTGTGATCGCGGGCGGCTCACCCAAGCTGAGGGAGATGAGTTGGCACTTAGTGATTTTTGTTCTGCAGACTTGGATGGAGAAGGCCTTGATTTGGATAGCAAGGGGCATCATCAGCAGTCTTGCTCAGCAAGGCCCGGAAACACATGGAAAAGGCGAACATAATTGGAATAAGCAAGCAATCATGACGTTCCATAAATCCTTCTTACAGTCTTTGATGTCAGCAGCCAATGCAAAAGCACAAAACTCCAAGGAGGCAAGCACTCCCGAATTTCTCACGTCTGATGGCACCCTGAAAGACCGTTTTCCTCTAGCTTCACATTCGTCGTTTTTAGGGTCCATGATAGTTTTCAGCTGGGGTAATTGCATTGTTTGAAGTCTTCAAACACGGTTCCGACCGCCGCAGCTGAGCCAGCCATCTCATTCAGACCTCTTGCAGCCATGGGTCAGTGCCACGTTGATCCATGAACACCTTAAGATGGCAAGGATAAACATCTGGAGAGACTGGACGAGAGGTGCATGGGGTTCATCTGATGCACATTGATCCACTCACCAAAGTTCACCAAAATCCTCAACACCTTTCGACCTCTGATCTCGCCTCCCTCCTCTTCACTTCCACCACTCCAAAATGCCACCCCCACCCTCCATAGTCAGCTCAATCAGCTTACAAGTTGGATCACCCAAACCCCCTTCCAACATCCTCTATAGACTCTCTAGCATCTTCCTCCTCCAGTCCCGAGACGCGTCAGAAGCCGCGCGGCCATGTCCACCGAGTGCGCGCCGAACTTCTCCAAGACCATCTGCACCGCGTCGTCGGAGTGGCCCAATTGGACCATCACGGCGTGAGACAAGCCAGCCATCTCGATGTGGTTCCGGGCCTCGGTCCGAGGGTCGAAGACGAGCTCGGACGATGATGGTGATCGAGCGGGGCCTGGCGCGGGCGGTAGGAGAGAACCGGGTCGGAACTGAGGAAGGATAAAAGGCCCATGGTGGTAGGAAGGTCTAGTCTATAGCACCAAAGAGGAACTAAAAAGATTCTGAAGTAGGGTTCAGAGTTCGGAAGGTCAGCGAGATTCCAGCACAGCTACGAGGTTTTACCATGGTTAAGTGTGGTGGATCCTTTGGTGGACTAGGAGATTGGGATTTCTGTGCAGTTTCAGAACTAAGCGCTTCGAATAATTTCAATCAAATCGCTTTGTCTTTTTCGTGGCACATGTCGCCATGTCGCCCACAGAGATGGACAAATTACTAAAAAAGGTTCCGGGCGGGCAAAGGCGCACAAAAAGCCAACAAAAGCAGAAGGCTTGGACATCAAGTCCAGGAGAAAAAAACATAAGAGAAAAACGGCTCCAAAAATCCCTCCAAAATGCCACAGGCCCAGAAGACTCTAAGCACCTTCTGTCGCCCAAACCTCTCCCGAAGACTCTCCGAACCAAACCGGACGACCGGACCCGTCCCGAAAAAGTGGCACCGAGCCGCGATCGTCGCCTTGGAGGGGGACTGCTCAAGAGCTGTGAGCTGTGACTCTCTCCCACAGACCCAAGAGAGGTAGGCCCGTAACCTGGGGTACCTATGGAATAGTCTATAATAGAGTCTATAAGGTCCTTCAACCTCTGTTGGTGACATGGTACACTGCGCCTGCCTGATAGAGCCCCCATAAGGTTCCAGTAGCAAGAGCCATGGGTAGAAGTAGAATGAGCCCACCGGTCTTCCAAGTGTGTGCGAAGTCTGATTCTCCAAGTGTGTGCGAAGTGGGGCCGACCGAAGTTCCGTATCTTAAGAAAACACCTCAGCCATGCTCCAACAACTTGACCGCAAGTTGAGTGAGAACATGTAAGAACACGAAAGAAAGGACCAGGAGGAAAAGCGGTGAGTCTTAGAGAGTCTTAAAGAGTCAACTGAAAAGCTCTCCAAGGATTTTTGCGGATGTATCCGGAACCCTGATCAGAAGCCTCCAAAACCCTTCAGTTTCTCCTAAATATCGCACTCCATCAACAAGGTCACGGCATCACCCGTCAGGATCTGCGAGGTAATTTGCTGCTGCTGGGTCAGGCAGCCTCAACCACCCGCCCATGGATCAACTTTCATGGGCCAAAAATGACAGCGACCCCCCACCACCGACCCGTTTGGTTCCAAGAACGTCCTGACCCCCACCCAAAAGGTGTGTGTCAATTTGTCAATCGAAAAGGACCATGTATCGTCGCCCATCTAAAGACCACCCGAAATCCGTGGATTCCGTGGTTTCCTGGGATGCTGGGATGCTCCTCGATGTGTGGAGCAACGACCTCTTTGTCTTCAAAACGGCAGAGCCCTCCACCACCCGGTCCCTCCACCTCCACCTCCTTCAACGAGGTCACGTTCACCGGATCCATCTCCATGGTCACCACCTTGCCACCCCAGGCGTCCACTTGCAAAGCCATGCGCGTGGACCTCACCAAGGGGGGGGGGTGGGCGAGGGACACGGGACACGGAACCAGACCGGACCAGACCGTGGCGGTCGAGCGGAAAACGGCCTGGGAGAGAGAAGCCAAAACACCACTGGAGCGTCCAGGACTGATGATGTTTATGTCTGCTCAAGACGGTTCCAAAAAAAGGGGAGTGGTCTGATTGAGAGTAGCCTGAGGGGCCTTGGTCAATCAGCAAATAGTTCCATGGGTCCAAAGGTGATCTGTTTGTTGGGTTTCGAGACCACAGTTAAATTGGTGGAGAGGAAATAGTTGGATGATGTTGGATGGCTGCCCAGTTTCAGGAGAGGAGATGTTGGCCTTGTGTATGCAATCTTCCATTTCATCCAAAGTGAGATCCAAAGGGATCGATTTGGGTGAACAGTTCACCTTGGCACGCTCCTCAGCGTGGCGTCCTTAATAAAACGATATCTTGTGAGTGGATGTCAGTGGTAGGAACATATCATGACATGCTCAATCGGTTCTTCTCCAAATCGGTTCCAGTGATTATAGCCGATTAGCCCAGCCCTTCTGGCCCCAGTGATTAGCCTGGTTTCAAGAAGTAGATGGCACTGGCACCCCTAGGTCCTAGGTCAAACCATTCGAATGAAACCACTGTAGATCTTCAATGCCCAGTGGCGTATAGCCGACATAGGTGCCAAACTCCAAGATCCTGGGCACTGACGACTCTCGACCTCCGACCGACCTTCTGGTTGGAAAACCACCACCCGTGGAACTGCACCGCGCGGTCTTCCTTTTCAAGACAACTAAAAGACATCCGTTTTTGACCGGAAATGCTGCATATGTCATATGTTCCATACTTGTTGAATATCGACCCCATCAGCCAAAACCTGAGGCTGGCCCGCCAGTCAAAAAAAGCAAAGCTCGAAAGCTCAAGAGATTCGGCACCCCCCCAAAAAAAAAGCAGAGCTCCAAGCTTCAGCTTTGGCCGTTGCTTCGCAATGACATTGTCGATGACACAGGCCTCTGGGGTCGGGTCTTGCAAGATGTTTGATCGTGAGCTGACTCAATTCTGCTACCAAACACTTCCTCCAAGTTGAATTACAAAGTCACCAACGGTCACATTTCATCCAAGTTCTGCTACTCACATGTGTTCTCTTGTTTTTGAGGCACAAGCAGTTGGAGTGACATTACACAAGATTCATCAAATACAGTCCCACCGAGGCGCAAGAAGCTGATATATAAGCTGTGACCCAGTCTTTCCGCGCCTTCTCACCCCCGGCAATCTTCAGCCACACCTCTTTGAGCCCCACATTCTCAATGGCCGCATGGACCTGGGTCGAAGGCATGCCAAGTATGTGATTGGTTCGCAGCATTGTTGGATGGTCTTGCAAAACTATAAGTTGACCTATCTCAACCAGGCAGTGATCCCAACATATTACTCACCAAAATTCGAGAAAAGCTAGTTTGCCAACTTCACATCATGTGCAGCCATGACGTGGGTGCATGTGGATGAAACATTTGCATGTTTGCAAAGCCCCAAGGTCGCAAAGTGAACCCTCGTATGGAATAAATTTCAAACCCTAGGGATCCAAGTACCTTCTCAGAAGGTGTTTGGGGTGGCTGTGGAGGGTCCAAGTGCCTTCTGAGGAGGTATTTGGATCCCTAGGGAATGATCCGATGAACCTCCAGTCACCGTTCGGAGAATTCGATTCGTTGTCGCATCGCCCCTGGGTTGCCCGGCACTGGTCACGTCGCCTGCCCGAGCCTCACGTACCACGGTCTCTAGGACGCTCGCCTCCTGAGAGTCATATACGTGGTCACTGGGCTGCCCAGATTTCAAACACCATGTATATACACCTGGCAAGATTCACATGGAACCGGGCTTGGCCTGGACCAGACTGGAAGGCGTCTGTTCCTCTACAACCCGACACTAACCCGACATGGTTTTCAGATTCGTTGGTCCCTTCCAGGGTCGTCAAATGAGTGGACCCAAATCTCGGACGACCGAGGGACCGACCCAAAGAGGATGGTGAGGGGAGAGGTCGGCCCCTGGAAGCTCCTTTCCAACCATTCTGAACCGACCTGGGGGTGGGCCGAAGACTGTGTCCCAAGCCTCATATGTCGATCTTCACCCCTCAATTCTTCGAATCCGTGAATTCACCACCCTTCTGTTGTTCCCCCCCATCCGGACCTCGTCACACACGAAAATAACAGGTCACAAGGGCGAATACTGATCGTCTCTGACTGTCATGAGGTGCGATCGTAAACTGGATCCGTCGAACTGGGTCGAACATGGTCGAACTGGATCACTGCTTGGATTTGCTTAAGGCACCTGGGAAAAAAACATGAACATATTCACCAGAAGATCCGGAAGGGGATTTACTATGGATTTACCATAGGGAAATACCAACAATTCACCTGGACCGCAAAATCAGGACTGGATCGTAAACTGGAGAGATCTATAAAACACATCACTCTCAGATCCGTCATTCTCAGTGGGTGGCAAAAAAGAAAAAAAAAGCAGAGATGGATCCAAGAGTGTAAGTAATGCACTGGGCTGGGGAGGCATGCAAGTGCCTAGCGCTTCTTCAGTGGGCCTTTGGCATCCTCTTTGGGAGCGATAGACTGCCATAATACTGCATCATATAAATCAACAAATCCATAGGAATATGTGACCTTCGGCTGCAATTTCTCAGGAAGTTGCGGCACAGACTTACATTGAGCCCAATGTGAACAAGTTTCGACAACGTTTAAATATGTCTAATATGATCTATAGCCTGTTGTAGCCTACAATGAGAAACCATCGCCCATCACAACACACACATTATATAACAAACTGCATCAAACTGCCATCACTCCGTAATTACAACATTCCATCCTGCGGCCTGCGACGTTTTCGCATGATTTCACTCGGTGTTCTATGACCTTGGTACCGCTTGATTCGATACCCATCACCAATCCTGACGATCTCCCATCTAACCAGCAAAAATCGTGATACAAAACTGGTCCTTGTAGTGAAAGTCTTCGTAGCGCGACTGGCAGTTGGGCCGCCGTCGGATGGTGATGTCGAGGATCTCAGCAGGCTCCAGCTCCGCCTGGCACCCGAGCGCAGCGGCTAAACCTAAGAGGCGAGGCAATTGACATGGGTCCTACTGATGGATTCCGATCCCCCCCTAAACCAGGGGAATCAGGCTGGGAGCCTGCGAACAGTAAGACACATGTTGGTGAACTTGGTTGGCACATGTTGTGTTTAACTTTGGCACATGTTTCTGCAAAGTGCCAGCGCGCGCTTCATTGGTGTTGGATGAAGGTGGACAATGTGTATGAATGACATGACTTTAGGATTGATGAATGATCTTACGTTTTGACATTGCGGAAAAGGTCCTCCTTGCAGGTCCTCGCATCCTTTACTCGGTGTTGGCTTTCAATTGGCCAGGTGGGTGCTGGCATTCTGCAGCATGCCTTGGAATGTTTTTAGAGAACTTGAACTTGTAACCCTATTCCAAAAGGCTACTGATCTGTCACTCACAACATTTGCGATCTTGACTCCCTTGCTGAGCCGCTCAATCCAACCAATCTGCTGCCCCTTCAAACGCGCCAGCCACACCATACCGGACCCCATGATGCCCAAACCAAACCCAGCCACACGCTGAATACATCGCACACCCGACCCTGCCCCACACCCTCCTTCCTTTTGGTCTCACGCCGCTGGAGCTGCACAGGTCAACTGATCCATCTCTAGCCTTGTTTCGGGCCCCACCACCGCGCAGCTCAGCACGCGCCCCTCCGCCCCGTGGATGCTCACGACGTGCAGCCCATCTTCGCCAGGTCTGAAGACCGGACGGATGGCCTGGCGGGCGGCCAGCCTGTTCCGTTTTGTTGTGTTGCTCTCTAGTCTTGACATGCCAAAAAAACGTGTAGTGTTGTGCGCCAATAGGTTTTTCATAAGGTTTTCCCACAGTTGGGGGGGCGCTGTTTTGACATCCCGGGCGTGTCTTCACTATATATTATATATATATAGACGCATATAGTCATCGAGTCATCCCACTGTACCTTGCCAACTCAATTTCACAATCAGTTACCAGGCTGTCCTTGGACAGAACCCAAGCTCCAAGTCCCATCCCACATGGTCAGCTCCAGTCTCTCATTGTGCTTTCGCGCCTCCGCATCCGATGCCGAGGATTGGAAGGTCAAACCTTTCCAGATTGGTTTCATGGCACAACGGCTCTTCTGCACGTAGCCTTGCCAATAGTCCAGAACCTCATGGAGCTTTGGCCATGTGGAGAATTGACGACAATGACCTTACGAGCTAATTTTCCCGCAAGATCCTGCAAGCCCCTTCCAGCCTGTTATGCAGACTCTTGCTTCAAAACACACCCTCCGAGACATGGATTGTAAAACTTCTTCAGGCCCGAGGGGGTTGAACTGACTATCAACCGTCTACATTTCTATCATTGTCGTACCTGTACCCACTGACTGTAGCGCGTGGCGTCCTTTCGCAATATCGACGTACCATCCATCTACAGCTGTTGCCTCCTAACAGGTCCGGCTACATAGAGGCCTCCCAGAAGAAAAGAACGCAAAAGGATCTTCATGGATGAAGAACATATTCAATGGCCCAACCCAAAATACAGGAAGAGCTTTCAACAACCATTGGAATGATTTGGAGCTCTTTCTGTGAGTCCAACCACCTGTGTATTTTGAGTTGTTGTTCTTCCCATGCGCATCTTGGGAATTCCGGCTGGGCCTCGTCATCCAGATCCAGGTCTTCTTCCTCCGCCACATCTTGTAGCGTCGCCGCATCAGGTGCCTGCGCTGCCAAGGTGCCAAAGAAGACCTGCAGCTGCTGCAGCATCTCCTGGCCGCGACAGGTCTTGATGGGGTCTCAAATGCTTGAAGGATGCAACCCCTGGGTCATTTGGCTGAATGCTGGGTCGTCTTGGCCAGTCTTGGATGATTGAATCACTACTCACTGGAAGTGATTTTTCAATAAGATTGCCAAATCTATACCCGATCAATCCCCAATCACTCTTTCAAAGCTTTGAATGTGTTTGTGGCTCCGCTGTGCTCAGCCTCAATCGAAATCAACCGGCTTGCCACCGCAGCCACCCAGGCTCCTCATCGCGGACACCGCCTGGGTGACCGTCCGATGCGACCGCCTTCGGAACCACTGGGATCATCTGCCTTTGCGGAGTGCCTTCAGTGTAGGTTCCCTGCCTACCATGCCGGGGGTTTGGCCAAAAAAAACACAACTTCCGCCAATCCCACGCGCCCCAACCACGGCATATGGCGGTGTTCGAACCGGTTGGAACGTCATAAATCCGCGAGCCCACCTTTAGAACAACTTTGAACCAGTCAACTACATTACCCAATGTCAAGTGCATGGGCCAATACGTGGGCTGTTCATGTGCTCCCGCGTTCTTGATCTGCCCCTGATTAGATTGAAAGCTCATTTGAAGTCAACGAAATGGTCTAAAGAAAACTAAACATGACTTTAGAATCAACACAGTGGCGTATCAATCAAATGATTGCTACACCAGCAGTCACAAGACGGGGTGCCGAACTTGGAGGATAGGGGTGCCCAGAACATCCACTCACTGAATGGGACTCAAAACCACCCCGAGCTCTGTGACTCCTGGTATATCGATAAGTCTATCTTGACCATCCAGCAGAGGTTGAAGAACCCTATAGACTATCCTAGAGGTACCCGTAGGATCCTATAAGGTCACTTAACCTCTGTTGGATGGCAATACCCAACCCCCCGGCCCAACTTTGGGGACCATGAGATTTGTCGCAATAGGGGGGACCATGTTGGTCAACTCAGTGCATTAGAATTCTCGTCAATGCCGAGTAAGTAGAGAACGAAGTATCACAACCAAAATCAGTCCATTCAACTAATCACTTTATGCATTGTTGATGCTCTTAGCTGCTCAATCCCCAAAACCCCCAACCCGCCTGAACAAACCTCATGTCCTCTCTGTCCTCATGTCTTCGCCATCCACCACCATTTTTTGTACAAAAATCGATTCCTCATTCCGCCCGGTGGCCGAGCTTCACCATCTTGGCCTCCTCCAGCTCGACCATCTCGATGGAGGCCTGACCACCTGCGCACTGCACCCTTGAGCGGCACTCACCGCACAGCACGTGTCATGTCAAACAAACGTCCAAACCAAACAAAACAAAACAAAACAACCAAACCAAAGCAACCAAAGCAAACAAACCAAAGCA